CATCCTATTTAAGTCTGTTATAATTAGGACAGACTCGCACAAAATTATGTGCCCTGATTAGACAGACGCACGCGAAAATTATAAAGCCTGTATACTACAGAGAGGTCATAAACTATACCCCATCTTGGAACAGCGGCACGTCCCTGTATAGGCCTTAGAAAGGAGTATTCTCCCCCCCACCCCCCTCACCTAGGCAAGGGCCTGATAACTTCTTTGGATTTCAAACGGCTCTTATTCCTTTTTGTCAAATGCACGACGCTAAGGATATTACAACAAAGAAAAAAGAACATAAAAACAGGAAATTTGCACCTGTAAAGCACTTGGCAAATTCTCTGGCACTTCAAAAGATCCTGTCTTGTACGTCACAGCAAAAACCGCCATTATATTGATTCACGGATTACTATTCATCAGATGCTTAAATCTCGTTTAACTGGCACGGAGAACAGCTGATTTATTAAGTATTGTGTATCGAAGATTATGAGAGAAAAAAAATATCTTGAGACAATGTGCGGATACGGACGTACACGGAGCCAGATTTCCGAACTTTAAATGCCTGTATTTTATACCCCTTGTAAACGTGAAATAAAAGCAGTTTCAAAATTTAGGTTTGGAACCTTTTTAGTTATGTCTCCAAGTAAACGCTGTGAAACAAGGAATACTGGTTAGGTGATTTCAGAAAAACAGTGTCCAGCAAACATTTAAGGGGGTAGGGGGAGGGCTATAGCGTCTTAGTAGCGCATATCTGCACGGTTTGTCACTGGGCTATGGAGAAAGGGGGTGGGGAGTGATACAGCTGTTGCTAATAAAGGAGTCTAAATGGGGGTACCTTGATAACACTATAACACTTAATTTTTTGGCTCTTTAACATGAATCAGTTAAATATTGGTCATTCTACACTAACTGCAAAAGATTTGCTGTAGTTAACGTCACAGTAATTTTCTTCGAGAAAGAAACGAAAACGACTTCAAAAAGGCCAATATTATTTTGTTTGGTATATCAAGGATATTTCCGTCATTTTGCGACAACTCCCGATTATTTTAGAAGATTTCCGAAGACTGCCAAAGATTTTCGAAGACTACCGAAGATCTCCGAAGACTGCCGAAGATTTCTGATGAGAAAACCAAAAATTTAATTTTCGTCGTTATATTCATACAGTGAATAGATACGATTTTTCACGAAAACCCTCCAAATACTTAACGGTATTTTATCTGGAAAGAGTATTAAAACGTTAAAAAATTGGCCCAAAAGCAAACACTAAACATCATGGGTAAATAACACTAGACACTAAACCGCATTCAGACTCTATATAATAAAGGTAAGAATACCATGTTGCCAGTGTCACGATGACTTTGCACAAGCATTTGCATTTGCACGTTACGGTACAATTCGCATCAATTATCACATTTACGAGCAACCACGGACTGATTAGTAAATGGATTAGTTTGAAATATTACTGAATCATCTTCTTGTTCATTGACCATGTACAAGGCAGCGAGTGTCAAGGAAACCGGGGAGAGAGGGGGTACTCGGACAACATTTGGGCATCAATGGGCGAGCCGCTGAGGGTTTGAAAACCTGACCCTGTTTAGGACAAAAAAAATTCTAACATACTTACGCTGTTTAGGACGAAAGACAAAATGCACGCCGTCTTCTTTTTAAGCCACTTGTCGCCAGTTGCTGAATACTGAGCAAATTCATGTTATGGTCATAGCTTTTGAATGGTTGGATTACGAACAAACTTCTTCCTATTTAAGTATGTTTATGATTAGGACAGACTCGCGCAAAACTGCCCTGTTAAGACAGACGCGCGCGAAAATTGTTTAGCCTGTTTACGACAGAGAGGTCATAAACACTTAACTATGCCCCATCATGGACAAGCGGCACGTCTCTGTATGGGCCCTAGAAGGGAGTATGGGCCATAGAAGGGGGTATCGTCCCCCCCGAAACTCCTTTGGACTTCAAAAGACTCCTAGTCCTTTTTCTCAGATGCACGAGGCCAAGGATATTAAAACAAAAAAAAAAAAAGACATAAAAGCAGGGCATTTGCACCTGTAAATAGCACTTGACAAATTCTCTGGCCCTTAAAAAGATCCTGTCTTGTACGTCACAGCAAAAACCGCCATTATATTGATTCACGGATTGCTATTCATCAGATGCTTAAATCTCGTTTTAACTTGAGACAAGCTGATTTCTTAAGTATTGTATGTCGAAGATGATGAAAGAAAAAAATATCTTGAGACAATGTGCGGATGTTGCAGCGGAGGACCAGACCCTTTTCATAATAGTCGTAGTAGACACTGATTTTTGCCACTCAGTCGGGTGAAGTTGACCTCACTGCAATTGGCCGGATTAAACCTCAGTTCAATTGGCCAAAGCAGCTTTTACCCGCAGTAACTGAAATACATGCAATATTACGGATGACTAAAAATATCATGGAAAAATTATAAACTTACAGTAACTGCGTGAAATAACGGTTCTCGTCGCGTAATTCACAAGTTGTTAGTGATGTTGGGAACATCGATTTATTATTCAAAACGTACCTTGCATGCGATGGAGTTAACTTGTAATGATGCACTAAATCCCAGTTCCTTGTAATAATGCATATCCCAATTTAAAGCCCAGAATGTCCCTTATTCGAAATTAAAACTGCTTGAACTCTTAAAGATTTGTATAAGTAATGATTAAAAACTCATCCACCCAAGTTTGTTTTTCTTCCTTTCTTTTTTTCTGTCATTTCCTCGAACGGCCCTACAAGCATCGAGCTTCTGTTTTTTATTTCACTTTTTTCATTTTCCGCTTTTTATTTTTTATTTCTTTTCAAAGTTTTAACGCTGAGATAAATGAAAAATCAGTCTCACGAGGTATTAATGTAGCTTGTAATACTAATAAGAATATTTCTAAGAATCTTTTTCATTTCAGTTCTATTATAGTACGCGCCTATAAATCCTGTCAGACGAAACGATTAGTCGCTTCTGGATATTTGCTCTAATTTTGCCCAATCACCTTGAGTAACACTATTTTTAATCTGAATATCCGTACTAAACGGCGTTTAATGGCCTTATATACTATTTGTGCTTTGGCACCGGATATGACAAGAATACCTTGGATATCATCGTACGTAACTATCGTATCAGATCATGATCCAGCGATCGCCATGCGCGCAGTTTTCATAATCCCACGTGTTCCCACACACGACCCACGATGTGTAATCTCAATCGCCATCAAGTGTCTTCGAGCTATTCTCGCTTGGATTTTGCTATTTTCACCCACATTAAGTATAAACATGTCAGCATCATCATAGCTATCAGTATGACGCCAGGGACTTCTGCTATTTTCAGAGTCTCTGTAAAACGTCATGCCAAATATCATATTTTTAGTATTATAACGCTAGCAACTGCCTATAGGTTCAAGGAATCAAGGGCAGTCATGGCAAATGACTGCGAGAAAGAGAAGTATAAGCTACAATGTAGTTTTGGTTACGCAGCCGGCATTGCAAACGCCTGCCAAAAATTTTAGTCGGGCTCTGAATAAACTTAAAACTGTGTGAAGTTTTTGAAGTTGCCGATTCGTGAAATTCCAAGTCTTCCACTCCTTTTAAAATGCCCAAGTTGCCATAATCTGTGACGAGCGTCCTAAGTGGAAATTTCCTTTTCTACACTGCTTTTAGGTCGAGTCAACTATCTTACCATAGCTAAATCCGTGTAAGGCTATAGCTTGACGAAAGTTCAGCGGTATTTTACAAAACGCCACTACATAAAATATCGCGAGCGGTCATTGTTTTCCCACCGTGAACAAAACGCAAAAGTAACAACATATAATTTACCGCTTCGAAAATAAACGCATGGATGATACTAAATAATGTTAATTTTAGTCCGTAATGAAGTTGTTTTCCTGACAAACTTTTTAAGGGAAAAGCAAATATATGCGAGCTTTAAAACATGAATACTACATAATACCCTTTTAAATCTAATTTTAATCAGTAAAAAAGAAACCAACGACTGTTAGTCAGTAATAAACTACAGTTTATAAATACATAGACCGAAGAGCGGCTAGCTTTATCTTTTTGGCCCTGATAAAAGCACCCGTTGGTTTGTTTTTTTTTTTTTAAACACCGTTTTCCCCATTTACAATGTAATTAATAATGCAAACTAGCATTTTCATTTTTTAAATAGAAATAGGATTTTCTGCGTTCTGTGTATGACGTCAAGCCTTCCCACTATGTGGTGTAACAAACAATATTTTGGCGCGCGACTGGAATTCTTTTCTCTCTTAATTTCAAATAAAACATTGAATTTTCTCGAAGGTTTAGGTCGAGCACTCATCCATAAATCCATTTAACAGTTCATCGAAATATGTCTGACTTCTTTCGAAATCCAAACAATCGTGACAAACGTTAAAACAACGAAAATTCTCAAAATAGAATCTTTATGGTATTTATAATTATGATAATCGCACATGCCTGACAGTCCTTCCATTGACACACTTTGGATTATTTCAATAGGAATAAAAAGGATCTCCAACACAATCAATAAACCTCTTATTGGTAAGCCGGAAAGACCACCGAATGACGTCAATACTGGGGTGATTGACAAGGGTTAATACGCGATATATGCCAATGTTAGGTGCAAAAATCATGTGTTTCTTGGCTCGTGACAGAAACATCACAAATCATCACAAAACATCAAGGAAAGATCTTTCCATCTCGTTATCTCTACGATTAAGGGAATTTTCGTCGTTTGCGTGGCGTATTTGTTTGTTTTCGCTCTGCCAATAATAGCTGGACCAAATCTAGGAGGGCTAACTGATGACCAGTTAGAGATAACCTCTCAAAATAGTATATGTGAGTGGGATTGAGTTTCTTGAGACGTGCATTGGTTATAATTTATCATCAAGAGGTGAAAGATACAGAGAGAGCCGCTGTCGAGTGAAATACAGTCGGCCGGCTGTTTCAACGCACGAAAAAAGCAGTTTCCCGACCGGTCCAGAGAGGTCCAAGAGCTGGAGAGAGTTGTAGAGCCCCAATATACGGCGAAATGGTTTCTGTAATACCTCAGTTGCCACGGTGCCCAGTCGAAAATGGCATTCATTCAGTGATTTTGCCCTCGCAACGAAACAGTTTTCGACCTAAGAAAAAACTGACGAGAGTCGTTAATGGACTGAGTAACAACCAGCACTTAACAAAACAATTTAATATTCCACCAGAACTTTTTTGGACGTCGAAAAGGAACTCGAAAAAACATAATTTCACTATTCCGCGAATAGTCATCGAGAAAATCGAGGATGAAAGACCTTGGGACTTCGCAAACTCACCGAGGAGAAAGATGGGTAGTTTCACACGGCCCGGGCTGAACTGTAATAAAAATTTTCTTCATCCTTCTTACACAGTTTGTGCTGCGGTTTCGGCGAACGACCCCGGCGCCCTTAAGAATATTATTCTCTCGGGAGCTGTGAATATTGATCAACTTTGCTCGAATGGGGCTTCGGCATTACACGAAGCGGCTTACGACGGAAAAGTCGACTGCGTGATCGCGTTACTTCAATGCGGGGCCGATGTGAATAACGAAGATGGCGAAGGATGGACACCGCTGCATGCAGCCGTGTGTGGCCAAAGTATACAATGCGCTGAACTTCTCGTTCGGCGAGGAGCAAATGTGAAGGCGAAAACGGACGATGGACTTTCACCGTTGGCAATCGCCACGCAACAAAAAGACACAGAAATGATAAAACTTTTGACTTTAGTTTCCAATCAGCCGCACAAAGTAGACAAACCTAAACGCTCGTACAAGCAAGCGAAAGAGTTTTTTGTGCCCATATTTGTTTAGCATAATTTTATTGCTGACATTTGCTGCGCGCGTGGGATGTAGTGTTTGTGAGCGAGGGACATGTATTCAAAATTAAAAATGCGTTTTTGCGCAAGCATTATGTTAAAACTCGCAATAATTCCGCTTGGCGCCAATTGCTTCCACGCCTTCGTCACTTTTTAGTCGCTTCCTTTTTCGCTTGCGAAAGAGAGAAAGAGGATTCAAATTAAGGATGTAAAATAGAACTGACGATGCATGCAAGTAATGGCCTTGGGTAGCCACTTTACGTCAAAGAAAGCGCGTAATTTGCACCTTGACCAGGTGACTTGACTGATCCGGTGACTACACGACTACAAGTTTAAAACTATTAAAACTTGATTTTTTACTAATTTTACCCGGAGGAAGCTGAACACCCATGGGTAATACTGAAAGGTAAGAAAACCTTTACGATTTTTTCACAACGAAAATTGATTTTAAGTGAGAATCGCTGAAATAAAAACAAGGAAACTACACAGAAATTCGTGACTCACAATCCACTACGTATTGATTACGTAAGGAAGGAGCAGAAAAGAGTTGCTATATATATTTTTTGAAAAAGACCCTAAAGTGTGTGTGAGACTGAGATAAATCAGCGGAATTTTTTTTTCGCAGTAATTATGTACAAAAAACGAAGCTCGCCGCTTGGACGTATCGGCCGCGAATAAATAATCATCTTGACACAAAACAGGAAATCTTAGTCTTCTCCTTTTTGGTGCGAAGATACAATAATATTGTGCAGTCTATTTTTACTAGAACACCAGATGTTTTTCTCGCCAAATTTAGAAAGTTTTCCCTTGAAAAATTCACGATAGGTAATTAAGGTGACTTTTATGTTCATTAAAAAAAAGTTTAATTTACCACCCTAGTTTATATTTGTTGCTGTTCGGCTGTTTTCACTTTTCCGTAGCCGAGTGTCGTTGCCTAGCAGCTTCTTTTTGGTAGCCAGACAGTGTTTTAAGGTCGCGAATCACCTCTCCATTTTGTAATAAAAAAAATGCATTGATTGTGCATTGGGTCTCGATAAAGTCTTGTAAAGTGAAAGGACTCATTTTATAACTGCCCATTTGCTTATTTTAATCGAACAACACACTGGCTAAAAACGTACTAGACATCCTCAAATTAAATTGAAGTCTTTCGCAGTTCGCCCTAAGATTTAGGCCTTCTTTCCCATGGCTCTCAAAGCTGGACTCTTGAAGAATTCTTGCCCAAATTTTGCCAGAAGGCTTTTGAGACATATTTCATCACTGACCAAGTTTCTACTAAATAACTCATCTCCAAACTTTCTTGTTGTTTCAAAAAAGCAGTGTAAGTTATGGCAAATTCTCTTGTTTAAAAAAATAATACACATTAACCGTGAAACTGAAGCCGTGAGCAACTGCACGGAGATTGTTTTTGGGCAGTGACTGTGTTAACTTTTATCTTAAGTGTTTACACAAGTGACCCTCGACCCCAAACGTACCCTCAACTTGGCTTAAGTGCAACATTGAGCTGTCACGCGCTTTTTGCTCCCGGTAACAGTGAATTGTTCTTAGTTCGCAAAAAGATAATTATTTAGAATGTTTTGATCTCGAGGATAAGAAAGATAATCATAACTATAACAAAATTCTCAAATCTGATTGGTTCTCAACTGCCCTGATTTCAGCCTTAATAGGACAGTTTAATAGGACAGTACGCGTCATGCCTAAGTAATTGGACAGTACGCGCCATCACGCTAATTCGGTCTGTAATCATACTCGTGATTAAACAAATCGGACTCCCGCTACGCGGTCGTCCGATTTTGTTAATCACTCGTATGATTACAGACCGAATTGGACTCCACTCAGTCCTGTTACCATTACTAATCGAGTGTTTGGCACGTAAGAGAAAAAAATTGGGAAAATGATTTTTTTTAAGAAAGAAAGAAAAGAAGAAAGGAAACCATGCATGGTTGAATTTGTAATGTTTATGCCAAACGTTTGTTTCGTTCTTTAGCCCCTGCATAAATCAGCAAATAAGGATTACTATGACCACTAAATGCTGCATGATTCGATTGCCATTTTAAATGTGGTCACGTTTTAAGAGAGACATAAATCAAATCCCATTTTTTACCTTGAAAGATATCCTCATAACATTATAACCCACACAATAATCGACAATGGAATATTTTGTTGCTCAAATTTAAATATTTCAAGTTTAAAAGGAGGCTTAAACTCCTGAGACAACAAGAACCAAAGTGAGCGAATGGTTAGTCACTGAGCTTAGGCAGGATTTTTTTAAGGTAGCAATACCGACACACAAAGACAGCTTTAATAATAAAACTGGAGGAGAATTTATTTTGCTTATGATCAGTCTAAGATAAAATTTATAAATAACCAGGCAACGCACAATAGATCAGTGTCAAATTCGGCCGTCGTTTACTTGGTGACAAAAGTTTTTGATGTTTTTTTTTCTTTTTTCTAAGAAGAGATAAGCGTGTCCAACGCCGGTCAGACAGGATAAGCTTACAGGGTAAATTATTCCAACGTTTGCGTTTGATTCTATCTTGATAAATGGTCACTGAATGATCAGCGCACTTCACTTCCAGATAATTCCAGCAGTTAGGGTATCCCAACTCCCCCATCCCTTGCATCAACTGGCTGGACTATTGACCAGCTCGACTCCCAGAAAACTCTGTAAAAACCGCATGACGCGTTTCCACGGGGGTGGTCAACCGTCCAAACATCGCTAATGCTTTTATTTAGGCGTTAGATGTAAAAACCGTCTTATGATACAAAACTAATTAATTCTCGAGATTATTCTCTTGACTTAAGATTTCCTTCGAGCTTTGAGGATCGGAAATCACGTTGGGGAATTCTTTGCCACCCACTTTTAAAGTAGAGCCGGCCTGGCTCGTTTGTTCATGAGATATTGCTTGTTAAGGATTTGTTGATTTGTTGGCATATTTTGGAATTCGGAGATGAAGAGACAAAATAAAATACTTTTATATTAATGATGTATTAAGCAAGCCCCCCAATGCCTTTTGCTTATAACCACTCATGGATCAGCCGAGTCTCCATCCATCGAGACCCTGCGTGTGAACCATAACTTACATTGTCGTTTGAATATAAATAAATCACAAAACGAGAAAGTTTTCTCGACTTTTTCACAGCTATTAGATTTGCAGGGTTCCTTTTAAAGACCGAAATGACAGGTTTCCCTATCCCACTATCCCTTTCATATAGCTTCAACGAGTGAAATCCATACTCTTTCATTGACCTGAAGCCTGAAAAGAAACTGTGCGTTGTGATCGACGTTTACCTTCACTTGCCTTCAACTGTTCCTTACTTCTACAAAAAATGAGTAATTTCACGTTACAATCGTTTCAGTCTGTTTTTATCTGCTCATTTTCCAGTTTGAGAAATTCTCAAATTTATTCTGCCGTTTGCCGTAAACTTGACTCTAAATCTCTCTATTATCGAACAGAGACAAGCACCGAAGCAAGCAGAATTGGGGAAGGTGAACTATTTCCAGCAAACAGCAACAAACATGGCTATCCGGTCTCTCTCACGTCACTTGCATGGAGTAACCTTCTGGTGTCAAGGTCATTCGAAAGTCTCTCTTTGATTTCTATCCTTGGTCACGATTGAACGAACTGAACGGAAGAAAGGTCATATTGCTCGAGGCTACATTATTTAAGGTCGTCACTACGCAAGATAACACTTGCTGCTTGCTGAATCATTGAGGATGCCAATATCAATAACGATTGTCGGCAAACACTAACAACTTATTCGTGTTTGTGTTAAACAATACCGACGACACCAGAAGCGTAAAAACAAAAACAGAACGTGTGAGACTGTGATGACAGTGCACCGAATGGTTTTGCTCGTCACGTTCAATCGTGAGCCGTAACTCCAGAGCTCCATTCCTATAATAATATCTAGTATAGAATCATGGAATCAACGTGTCCACGATTTCTGACGCTAACATCTTCCTGTTGTTGCACGGGCTAAATCAAGGATCGAGTGCCACTATAATTTTGAAACAGTAATGAAAACCCCCCTCTTCCCATGCTATCAATCGTGCAGCTGTCTTCTAATTGGATTTCTATATCAGTATCGTCGTGCACAAGGCGACGAGTGCGGGTGGGGGGTGGGGGGGTTGCTCTGCAGGACATTACTTCCTAGCCGGAATAATCTTATTATCGGCCTTTCTCTAATTTTCAAGAAGTCCTTTGGCGTCCTTTTCGTTATTCCGATCGCGAGGTGATTATAGAATACGTGTGGTCCCTTATTTTTCCTCAGAGATAGTGGGGTAGCGAAGGAGGTTTGGGACTACTTGTGATCAGTACATCACTCCCAGAATTTTAACAAGTCAACTTTTTTGAGCGGCGAAGTCGTGAGAACGATCGTTTTGCGAAGTGGCCAGAAGTTTCCCCTCCTACTTAGTCAACCCGAGGGAATCCCTGTGGACTTCTAGAAAGTGTACGTCACTCTTTACACTTACAAGTTCAACAAACTAGAGAGAACTAAGAATCATTAGTTACGTCAAAGGCAAACTGGAAATTCTAGTAGAAAAAAAAGTTTCTTTTCAAATTGGGAAATGAGCAGATTCTCTCATGTAGATTTAAACTGCTCCCCCAAAACAAAACAAAACAAAACAATGGATAAAAAGGCATGGAACAAGGGAAAAGGGAAAACTAAGTCACGTGAGACAAATTGCGTTTGCCCGTTTGACGTAATGGTGGTTAGTGTTTCGAATTCACCATAAGTTCTCTTCCATTCATGAACTAACAAAGATCATTACCAACATTTGTTTTCCTTTTGTCGGTAGACGCTATTCGGAAGGGCATTGCGTAGGTTATAGTTTTAATTTCGTTAAAAGGAAGTGATCGTGACGAAAAGCTTTTCAACGCTATCGAGAAAGGTGCTTGAACCGTTGTGCTACAAGAGGTTTATTCTAGACTATTTTTACCACGTTTAGTTGACTGAAAAACAAAACAAAACCTACAGTCACGCAGAAAACAA